CAGCAACAATTATTGCCAGAGTTTTAAACCGGTGTGTAAGGAGAAAAGGAAAAGGAGGAGAGAGAAGGAAGGAAGGAAGGAAGGAGGAAAAATAAAATGAAAAATAAGGATGGGGGAGGAGCGACCGTTGATCGATTTTCTCGCAGTCGCGAGAACCGGAATGGAATGGAAATATCAATCGTTGGAGTGTCACCGAGAATCGGAAAAATATCCCGGGGAAGCTGTAACGGGGAGGGAGAGGGGGATGGAACACTAATGTGCTCGAGTTTCCATCGGCGACAGTCGTCGTCGTGGCTCGAGTGGTCGTCGTTGCGCTCGTGGAAAGTGGAGAAGCACAGCCGTACCCCACCGTAATCTGGACGTTACTTCGTCGAAGGTTGAAATTAGCAACTCGAAGCGATTCGAGCGTTTCCAACTCGTGAAAGGGAAGGATATAAATGGACTACGGGGAGGGGGCGGGGGAGGAGGCAAGGGCTCGAAGGGAACGAACGTTTCCGATGTTCCCGATATTCGGCTCTAGTTTGGAAAATTTCTTCGTGAATTAGAATTGAAAAAAAAAAAAAAAAAAAAAAAAAGTAAAGGAAAAAAAATAAGAAGAAAGAAAAAAAGCCGTCGTCAGCCGAACACAGTTAATGGAGCGGGGGATTCGAGTTTGTATAGGGTAGGTTTTAGGATAAAAACGACATAACGAACAATTTTTTTTTGTTCTCTCTCTCTCTCTCTCTCTCTCTATTTTTCTTTTCTGTTTTGTCGAAGCGTGGAAAGGGTGGTGGGCAATTTGCGCGTTCGGCGCGTATATACACACGGAATGATATTCACGGATAGTATTCATCCGCGTGGAAACGGGGTATAACCTCGTGTATATAACTCTTTTACAAAAGTTTGATCGGCCACCGATCGTTTTCAGCTCTGCCTGCGTTTGATTATTCTTAATCGGCCGTGCATGTGTACGCGCGCCAATTGATTTATTACGGGGTTTCCCCACCTCGTAAAAACGCGTCTGTTTTCTATGGAGATAAATCGAGTTTAAAACATTTCGCTTCGATTGATTTATCGGCTAATAGAATCGAAGAACGGCCAGAAATCGTTTCCACGTTGGATGATTCCCCGGTTTCTCTTTCTTTCTTTTGCAACGACAATCCCCAAGAACGCGCGTCGAGGATCGAAGTCGTCTCCTCGATGAAGTTGATCCTCGATTCGACATTACAATCGACTCGACGATCGATTTCTCGACGAACGATAACGATGGATCGTAGAAGAAAAATCGGGGAAGAAGAAGTTGGTTTTAATTATTTCTCGCCTCGTGACTATGACTTGGCGCGGATTTCCTGCGGCCAAGAACACCGGGATTAACGAAGTAATTTCCGCTCGGCGACGTTGCCCTATAATTGGCACAAAAGATCTCGACGAAAACGTTACCTTCACGCTTCGTTTTGCCCTCCATTCACCCCCTTTCCTCTCTCTCTTAAGCGAATAGCATTCGCGTTAATACGTTATTTCCGTCCGTTGGGATATCGCACCGTAATATCGTAGGGATATCGTAGTTACGCGTAGCTTCCAACTTTACCTGGATTTTCGTGTTATTGTTATAATTAATCGCGTTTCTTAAGCGAGAAGAAGAAGAAGAAGAAGAAGAAAGATTCATCGTATCGATCGTATCGAAAAGCTTGAAGAATCGAATGAATTTTTCAATGAAATTCGTATACATACATATATATATATATATATATATATATATATGCATAGACGATACGGAGAGTACAAACACGGTAGCATTCATCAGAAGCGGAATGGTAAGACATTTCATTCGGAAAGAGTCTCATTCATGAGGATGCCGGTTCCCGTCTCTTCCACAGGAAGAGCATTTATATTCGCCGGTTGAGAGTATTACGTAAACGTGGCCGGCATATCGCTAATCTTCATCGCCGTTGTAACTGTTGAATAAATAATTAATACAACCGATTCGTGTACGTAATGTTAAACGTGCGCGCGTGTATTATAAATTATAATTCTGTTATAATTTATTTCGTCCGCATTGTTGCTTGTTCGGCGCAAACTTGTTTGTTTGCATAGACGAATGAACGAAACGAATATCGTTTCTCTTCCTTCTCTTCTCTAATTCTTGATTCGAAAATCGAATCGAACGGAAGCTTTTACGCTTTGGAAAAGGGAGCGCGTGCAAGAAAATAAAAAGAAGAAGAAGAAGGGGGAAAAAAGAAAGTTTGGCGTTAAGAGCGTTTAACGCGTCTCGCGTAAATCCTGGCGAAGGAAAGGTGTCCCAGAAGCGTCGTCTTTTCCCGGCCGCGCGCTATTATTAATTTCGTAATTAATATTTACTAGGCCCGCGCGGCGCGCTCCTGCTCATTAGCATTCGTCGCCACGTGCACGCCGCCGCCGTCAGCATTTTAATTCGAATCTTTCTTGAGCCGAAAAAAGAACGCCGCTCTCTCTCTCTTTCTCCGCGGTCCTCTCTTGCCTTCTCCCAGCGTATAACTCTCTTATAATCTTTATTTTCCTCGTGAATTCGTGAACTGGTACTCCCTCGATCCTCGCGACATGTATTAAGATATTAATAAATAAAGTAACTCTCGCACGATCAGTGTCGAATCCGATTCCGCGATTTCCCCTCGAATGATTAATCGAGAAGTTGCGAATATCATTATCTGTTATAATTCGTTCGAAGTCGAACGAGACTACGAGTTATTTTGACTCGTGTTGTTCGACTTTTAATTAATTAAATTGGATGGGTCGATCAACTTGACAAGTGAAGTTACTTAATATAGAGAAATAAAAAGGGCTTAAGGGACGATATGGAAAAGATGTCTGAGTTATTATTAGTCTTGAAATTTCGAATGGAAGGAACTGTGCGCGCCATCTTTTTTTTTTCACAAAAGAGAAAAAGAAAAAGAATTAAGGATAGGTATTAATCCAGAGTTAAATTCGATATGTAGCTTGGCGATGAATATTCCATCGATTCCAACCATATTAAAATGCGAAAGCTCGTATTTTCCTTTTGAAAGGTTCGCGTTGGCAAATATAAAAAAAAACTAACAATTACATGGCAAACCGGATGAAAATTTATTTTATACGCGACGAAACATTGGCAGCATCCCTTTCGAAAGCAAAATGGAGGGACAATTTAATAAGTCGATAAACGCGTTAGTGCCTATGTACATGAGTGTATGGACGTTGATGGCACCGCCGAGAACAAAGGCTCTCTCCTCTCTCTCTCTCTCTCTCTCTGGATACGCGCGCTTTTCTACACGTTTTTCCGTTGTTTTGTTTCATAATTTGATGACGGGGCCGCGTTGTATTATCACACGGTCAGAAGACTTAAACGCTGCCCGCCAGATTTATCTCGACGAGCAGAGAGCTAAATATATATATATATATCTTCTCGGTGCCTTTGCCTCGGAGTTAACCGTGTCCGCCAACCCCCTTGAGCGGGTTGCTTCTTCAGTTTGGCGAGCATACGCAATTTCAGATACGAGCGTAGTAATGGTTGCTACTTGCCACCTCCGCCTTTTGTCTCTGTAATTTTCGCCTCGTGCTCGTCGCCGCCGCCGCCGCCGCCGCCGCCTCGCTTGTCGCTTCCTGACCTCGATCTCGCTTTGACGCCGCTCGAGAGGAGAGCATGCCGGCCGAACAGAGTAACGAATCTAAAGTCTAAAACGCAACACTTGAGCATTTCTTTACGGACGAAAAAAAAGGAAGAAAAAAGAAAAGGGGGAGAGAAAGAAGAGGAGGAGTCTTTTCTTCTCGAGTCGAGTTTTTCCAAGTAGCTGTGCGCTTCCTTAAAGAGAGAGAGAGTTAAGTATATATCAGTCACGGTTCCTCGAGAAACGTTGGGGAATCGTTGCCGCCGATCGTTTCACCGAATCTCTGTCGTAAAAATATCGAACGTCGATTCGATCTTCGAGTGTCTTTTCAGTTCCTCTCTCTCTCTCTCTCTGTATACGTGTCTATGTGTGTACACGCGTCTGGCTGAGCGCTCATACACGGTAGCATCATTCGGTAAATAGAGGAATAGTTGCAATTTCCCCGAATAAACAGTACTTTCGGTGACCAGGCGGCAAGATGGAAAATCGATCCAGCGATGAGCTTCGACTCTGCTTCGACCCCAAAACCCTCTTCCGCCTATCTGTTCCGCCCGTCCTGCACCTTTACCCCCCTTCTTTCATCTTTTTTTTTCCTTCCCCCTCCTCTCTCTCTTTACGAAGATCGCGCACAACGAAATTCGAATACAACGTTTGTCGAACTCTCGTCCCGATCGAAGGAGGACGGAACGATTCGAAAACGATTCGAAGTTAATTCTATGAGTGGCATACGTTCGAGTGGACGATTACCCTTCCCCCAATTGACGACAATTGTCCGTGACAGGGATGAGAAAAAGGGGATAGGGGGACAGGACGAGGGGAGGAGACGCGAGGGAAGGGATGGAGGAGGAGGGGAGAGATAGCGCGGAAGAGAGGTGAGAGAAGAAGGAGGAGGAAATTTCATCGCGTCGAATCGCATTGAAACGCGTTGGAAGTTTTCTCGCTTTATTTCCTCGTTGCTAAACCGCTCACGTAGAATGAATGGATAAAGAAGAAGAAGAAGAAGAAGAAGGCGAAAGGAGAAAGGAGAAGAAGGATGTATTCCGGTCAAAGTTTCGCATAATTTCTCGCGGATTTTCTTGGCGATGGTGGACCATTTTCATTTGTCGCGATTTACTACGGTTAACTGCATCGGAGGCACGCACACACCGGAAGTTTAACGATTAGATGATGCTTCAAAGTTTCGCGCTTTTCAACCCTCATTACCGCGCCTCCAACCCTCCTCCTCCATCTCTCTCTCTCCCTCCCCCCCCCAGATCTCGGAATAGACTTGTTTTGCTCGCGAATGGAAGCCGCGCTGTTACATAACCATAACAAGATCGAAAGCCGCAAGGCAGGAATACGTTTACGATTCCCGCCAGCGAGAAATCGCGCCGATATCTCGGCCGAGATTATCCCCGAATCTCTTCTCTCGTTGCGACTTGTTAACGATAAAAAAAAAAAAGAAAGAAAAAGAGGAAGAGAAAGAGAGAGAGAAAAGGAAAGTACGTTTGATCGATAAGAAACGTGTGCTGGAATCTCCTTGCGTTTCAATTTCTTTCCCAACAGAGGGGGAGGGAGAGAGATCAAAGTTTGCTCATTCAGACGGTGTCGGTCGGACGACATCCGAATAGTAGTTGCGTTATGCAAATAGAAAGCGAGTTGGTTGGTGGAGAGAGAGAGAGAGAGAGAGAGAGAGCGTGGTGGCGCGATATTGGCCGGTTATAACGTTGACCAATGAAATCGGTTTTTGGAGTCGTAACATCCATCGGTTTCCGCTTCGATATTAGAATGCAACCAACTATCTTGCGGATAGAGATCATCGGCGGCCACCACCTGTCTCGCTTCTACCCGTATATATATTCTGTACTCGTAGGGAATCGAGGGAAAGATCTCTCCCCGGTTGTTAGGTCCGTTCCATCGAGCGTATTTGCCTCGACGAGGCGAGCGTCGTTCGAAATTAATTTAGCGAAGAAATTGCTTGTCCCGACACGTGATTAAATCCTCGGGATCGATAATAAGAAAATTCGATGGAACCGGTTGGAAAACGCGACACGAATTTTCTCTCGTCGAGATTGTTAGGCCAAACTCTTAGGCTATTTACTCGGGACGGGATTAAACCGATTCTCGAAATTTCAATATCCGATCGATCGGGTGCGCTGCTCCACCCTCCTCCCCCGATGCTCGATGACCCGATTGTTCCGCGGAACTATACATCGCGGTATTTATACACGCGGCGGGCCTCTGTGGTCGATGTTTCCGATTTTTCTCCCAGGATTATCCTCCTCCTCCTCCTCCTCCCCCTCCTCCACGGGGTCGGCGTACAATCACCATGCATCCAGGATACTTTTGATCCGCGTCGATTACGGAGGGAGGAAAGGGGGCAAAGCTCGAGCTTTTGAGCAACTCTCTCGATCGGCGAGAATATTTTCTCGTGAAGCGGAAAAAAAAAAAAAGAAAAGAAAAAAAAAATCGAGAGCTGTTTTTTAATCTCCTTTGTCCGCGTGACGCTTCTCCTCGACTCGACGCGCAACGACGTCGTCGGTCCTGTTAACTCGAGTCAACAAGGGGGAGGAGGAAGGGAGAGGTGACTGTCACTCGTGACTGTCGCACGCGTTTCGTTAAACGCGATTAACAAAGGCGATATCGCGATATGATGTGATCTTCGTCGCGTCTCCTCGAGCGAGATTAAAATATATATACGTCGGTCGGCATAACGCCTCGATAAGTCGAGGGGCCCTAATTATAGGCGAGAGAGCGATAGGCGGTGCAACGTGTGCTATGCACTCGTAGCAATTAATCTGTCGCGGGGATTATCTGTTCCGAGATAATAGGTATTCGCGGCCACCGATACCGGAGGATAATTAAATCAGCGGAGAAGACATACCGCCGCGATTCCAAGTAATTACGCGCCACGGTTTTCGGTCGACGAGTTAAAAGGGGAGAGAAAGAGACAGAGACGGAGTTTCCTCCCTCCCCTGGCAGGAACCACCCGCGTTCTCGTTAATCCCAGCCGAGGAAGGAAGGAAGGAAGGAAGGAAGGAAGGGGACAACGCCAGAGCCCCCACCCTATCGGCCTTTTAACGTTTTAAAACTCGCTTCCGGCAGGAGGGAGGCGAAACTTTTTTTTTCTCGCGGCTTCGATTCAGGCTCGCGCTTTTCGAAAAGTTCGCTTCCCGTTACGGTTACAGACGGGGTAGAGCGAAATGGAATAGTTTTATATCTCTCAGCTGGGGGGGGGGGAATCAAATGTGGAGAGGGTGGGGAATTAGCCGTTTCGATCGGTTATCTTACGCGATAACATAATGGGACGGGCGAAACGTCGTTACGAGGTCGGAAATTAAAAGGTTTCGAGGCTTGGAAACGCTCGTTAGTTTCCGGGGTAGAAATCGTGGGAAGGTCTCGTTTCGCGGTGGCGAGAGAAGAAAGAAATAAGCGCGAGGGAGGAACTCCCTTAACTGCGCGATTACGTTACGGAATGTTCGTTGGAATAAAGATGCGGCGGCCGTGGAAAGAGCCAGCGTGCAAGGTGCTGCTCGTCTCGAAGACGCTGAATGTCGAGGCTGAATGAACGCGAAGAGGGAGAGGAGGGGAGGGCCAAGTCCGAGGGAAGGGTTACTGGATAGCAGGGACGAGGAAGGAGAGAAGAGAGAGAGAGAGAGAGAGAGAGGACGGAGGTCTCATTAGGAGCTCTAACGACCCGAGTGCAGTATTCCCATCCCTATCGCGCTGAATCACCTCCTTCTCCTCCTTTTCTAGCGCACATTCTCTTCCTCCGACACACGAGCGCCAACTTGGCACACACCGACGACTCTTGCTAGGGTTCCTCGTGTTCACCACCCTCCCCTCCTGCCCTGTCCTTCTAACCCTCCCTCTTTGTCCGCGCAACCCCAATCTGAAAGTCAAATTTCCTCGTGGCAACGGTAGATGTCGCCCTCTTTCTCTTCTTCGCCCTCTCTTTCATCCTCCTTTTGCACCCTGTCTCTCTCTATCCGCGATACCTTCGCTCCTTGCTGTGCTCCCTGGCCAACTGCTCTCCCTCCCTTTAACCATCCCAACCCCGGCAATAAAACTGATAACATCATCGGGAATGTAATTACGCGCGGGAGGACGACGGCTAGGGACGTTGAATCGAATTAAGAAGATACTCGACGCTCCACGTCTGCGACTACTGCTGGTCACTACTCTCATTCGCTTTTCACGCCGTCCCTTTAATTCCATCCCGGGATGACACGGTTGCGCGTGTACGTAATAGGGGGGAGAGGGGGTGATAGATCGGTAAACCGTCCGTTTCCTTCTCCCGCGAGTTATCCGCCAAGTAACTTGGATTTTTGCCATCGGACGATGTACAAGGTGCTTTCAGAAATGGCGGTTCTCTCTCTCTCTCTCTCTCTCTCTTCCCTGTTCCCTCGTGGTCGTGAAACGGGTCAATTCGGTCGTTGCTTCTTATCTCGGATAAAGTGTCCGCAAAAAAAGGGGGAGTACGTGTAAGAATGTGCTCTCTTTGTAGTTGGCCGGCAATAAAAGCGATAACATCGGCGGGAACGTAATTACGAGGAGGAGGGAGGGGGAGTGTAGTCGGTGGATCGAATTAAGAAGATCCTATCCTATCCTATCCTATCGTGTCGTGGCCGTTCGCGACACAGGTTTTTCAATGTCGACGGTGCGCGTGGCCCGAATTAAACGGTGGTCTGCTACCCGTCGTTTCTTCGTTTCGTTCGTCTTGAACGTCACCCGAGAATCGAGACGTGTCCGCTTTCGAAAAGAAGAAAAAGAAGAAGGAAAACAAAAGGAGAGAGAGAGAGAGAGAGAGAGAGCGACTCGCGACACGAAACTCGAGGAATATTCCGTATTCAAGCGCAACGGTAACGAAACTAGCGAACCGCTTGGAATACGATTACACTCGTAAAGAAACAAGTTGGTCCGGAATCGAGGAATGATTTCGAATAATGGCGCAGACATATTTCGTTACCGGGGTGAAGCTCGCGTTTCCGGTTCCCCGGACTCGGCGACTTGTTCGTCCGGAATGGAACGACTATTTGCATTTCCGTTGTTATCCGTTAAAGAGAAAACCGAAACCTGCGCAACCGGCGGATCGATACAAAAGACAGAGAGCGAATATGAAATCGATCGGGATCCGCAACCCTTTTCCTCCCTCCTCGTCCTCGATTTTTCGAGATCCAATCTCTTCGTATCCTAGCAACGAATAATATTTCCCTTCCGAATCGATCGATCGATCGATCGATCGATCGGTCGTTCTCCAAACGTTCTCGAAGACGAATATACATATATATATATATATATATATATCGAGAGATATGCGATGGAAATTCGATTCGAATGGAGGGCAAACCCGGCGCGGAATTACCTGGAAGCCGGGGCGCGTTGTAATTAGAGCAATTAAGCACGAGAACCGATCGACACCGGGAGAAGGAGGCGGCGGCGGGTGTAGCGGATCTTCATTAAACGGTTGTTTGACTCAAAAGTCACGCGTTTTCTCCGCGTCTCCGCTCCCTTTCACCGCGCTCATTCTCTCATGCTATAATTTCCACTTAGCAGCCCGTTCTCTGTTCTTTCAACCGGGAACACGCCCGACATCTCGTCCCTCCTCGTTTCATCTCGCGCTCCTCGACCAACCCACCTACCTACCCACCCACCTACCTACCTACCTACCTACCTACCTACCTACCTACCTACCTACCTACCTTCCTAACTGTAGTGTGCCCTCGCGCATCGAGAAAGCGAGCTCGTTGCTCGCCTATTCAGATCGACGGTGAATTTAATCGGGCAAGCAAAGGGTACCGGTTCGCGCGGCAATTATCGCACGATAATATTCCTCTGCCTGAGGCCGCTTAACGCATCAATAATATTCATGGTATGTAAGTGGAGGAGGAGGAGGAGGAATACTCTGTCGCATTGATGCGCGTACGTACGAGCGTTCACGGTTTCGCCTTCCGAGTTTCTCGATTCCTGTCCTCCCTTTCCCCTCCTCCGTCCCCGTTTTCGGGGATCGATACGAGACACACTTGATTTTGCACAAAATTATTTCCTTTCCGACGCTTAATCGTCGCGAGGCGCTCGCTCGCTCGTTCACCTTGAAACAACACGGTGGCGGAGAGGCAACGTGCACGGGCAATTTGGCTAATTTGTTGTAATTGCTATGAATCGGGGGAAAGGAGGAGCGGGTTGGAGAGAGAGTGGTCCTCGCGGGGAGAAACGTATGCGGAAAACGTCGCGCTCCCCGATGGGATTAGTTCGGTATACCGGGAAACTTGCGTAAAGAGTAGAGTCTAGCGGGTTGTAAGCAACTTTGGAATTAGGGATTCGTGTAGTAATTTATCGAGAGGTGGAATATATATATATATATATGTATAAACGGTGTACCGAACCGTTTTATCGGGTTGAAAATGGCCCCCGATCACGATCATCGTGCTATTCTCGTTTCTCCGTTTGTATCGTATAACTTGAAACTCGAGTAGTTTCGAGTAGTCACAGTTGTCGTAGTTCTGCCTTTTTTTCGTATCGATTCGAATTTTTCTATTAGAAATTCTATCGGAAATTAATATACAGGAGTTAGTTATTTTAAAGAGATTCGAAACAAACCGTGATACATATGTATCAAGATGTTACAAATGATTTATTAAGTAAAGGCATCGAATTAAATTCCACGCTATTCTAATAAATTTTTTTTCATATTTTCTCGATAATACTCGACGAATAAATATTATTATGCTCGGCTCGGATAGATATTTCATATTTATGGGAGGGGGAAGGTAAAAGTTTTAGCCCGTTATTCAAATGTTCACAGATAAAATCGTAAAGAAGGGTGCAACGATTGCGGATCTGTTTCTCCATAACTCACCCTTCTTTTTTTTTTTTTTTATCTTCATTTTTCTTTCCTCGTCGTTCGTACCCGAGATACAAGCACGAAACACAAGTGAATTCCTTGTTCCGATCGCGAACAATTCGCCTCTCGTCGCCTCGTCTTCTCGCAAACGACGAATCTAATGCCTAATTTTAAATATCTTGCGCGACACTCGTCGCTACTCTTTCGTCGCGTGATCCCAGCCGGAAACGCTATTTTCGGCGTTCATTGCGTGCGAATAAAACTAATAGTCGGCCGCGTCGCATAAGAATGCTCGACGTTTCGTGACGAGCCCGCATAACGACTCTCTGAAAATACTCTCCCTTCCTCTCTCTCTCGAGAGAGAGAGGCCGATGCAATATCGCACTCGTGCATAACACGGCGTTTTTACGCGAAATATTTTGCCAAGTGCAAAAATCCACCGAACGAACTTGACCATTTCCAGCCCTCCTCGACCAAATATCCTCCTCTCTCGATGCTTATACTGCGCTTTCTTGCGTTGTGCGCATACGTGTGGATAATCGTTCGTCTGGCGAGATCTAGCACGCGATTAGAAACCGCTTTAAATTTATTATTTATGCAATTATAAATACCTCGATCAACGGCCTCGATCACGTTTTAATCGAGTTAATGATACACGTACGATTTCTTTTTACATTCTTCGAAGATTGATGCGAAAAGAAAGGAAAAACAGAAGAGAAAATACTTGGTGTATTTGAAATTTATATATATATAAGCTACGTTCGCCAACGGGATTCCATCGATTGTTTCGAGAACTGTTTGGAATCGGATCTATCAGGCACGGATTCTTATTCGAGGTTTTCTTGTTCGAATGTTGAAAAAGATAGGAGAGGAGATAGCTTCGTTCAAAGCATAGGGATTTTGCATTACGAGATATCTGATCCATAAGCACGATGTAGACGTTTCGTTCATCGAGTCGAAAGGACTTAATCGTGAAACTACCTCTCGTTTCTTTCTCGTGAATTATGTTGCGTGGAGACGCCGGCTAATTTTGGTTCCTCCTTGCGCGTCTTCTTCTTCTTCTTCTTCTTCTTCTTCTCTGCGTCGAGACGCGTTCCGCAACGCTACCCTGTATTTACGTCTTTGTATTTCAGGGTCGACCGAACCCTCGTCGTTATTCTCGGTACACGAGAATCCCGAGCTTTACGTGGAAAAAGGGAATATATATTGGTTCTCTGTGATTTGAATGTACACGTATGTACATATGTACGTTCTAGT